CCCGCCCGCGGCGCTCGGCCGCACCCGGGGGGCCCGGCGCAGCACACGCGAGCGCCGCGTTCCCCCGCCGAGCGGCGGCGAGGGGAGCCGAGGCGGGCCGAGCGGCGAGGGGCGGGGATAACCCCGCGGTCCCCGTCACGTGGCGCGGATGAAAGGGAAGCGACTTGGCAGGGCGGAGAAGAGCGAAGGAGGGAGGGAAGGAGGGAAGGAAGGAGCCGCCGCCGCCGCCGCCGCCGCCGCCGCCGCCGCCGCCTCCAGCGGCAGGGAACGCGAGGCCAGCCGAGCGAAGAGGAGCCGCCGCCGCCCCGCCGCCTTGGGAGCCTGAGGCCGGGAAAGGCGGAGCGGGCGGGCGGGCCGACCGGCGCCGTCAGCAGGAGCGATGTGTGGCCTCCGCCGGGCGCCGCGCTCGCCCTCGCCGCCGCTCCCCCCTCGTCCTCCGCTGCTGGCCGCCCTTGGCGCGGTGGGCCAGGAGGCGCGATGAGGCCGCTCGCGGGGCCGGCGCCGTGCTGTCCGGGGGCGCTGCTGCTGCCGCCGCTGCTGCTGCTGGCGGCGGCGGCGGCGGCGGCGCTGGCCAAGGAAACGGCCTTCGTGGAGGTGGTGCTCTTCGAGTCCAGCCCCGGCGGCGACTACACCACCTACACCACCGGGCTGCAGGGCCGCTTCTCCCGCGCCGGGGCCACGCTCAGCGCCGAGGGCGAGATCGTGCAGGTGAGGTCCGGACGCGGCGCGCGGCGCGAGCTCGCGGCGGGCGGAGGGAGGGAGGGAGGGAGCGTTGCCGTCGGCGCCAAGATGGCTCCTGGCGGGCGGTAGCAACGCGGTGCGGGCCGGGCGCGGAGTTCGCCAGGTGGCCGTCCCGTCCTAGCGCGCGGGCAGGCGGGCGAGTGGCGCCAGGCCGCTGCGCGAAAGGGCTCTCGACGGCGGCGGCCGCGCGTTCTCAGCCTTCTTGAGCCACTGCAGGGGGCGCAGCGTCGCCTGCGGGAAGAACGCGCCAGGCAGGGTCTCTGAGCATCTGCAGAGCGCCTCCGCGCCTCAAGGCGCTGGAGCCGGCCGGGGTCCCTTCGCGCTCCGTCGGACTGCGCCCGCCTGGGCACAGCTGCGCTGTCCGTTCCGAGCTCCGCCCGGGGGCACCTCGCCTTCTCCGGGTGGGCATTCGGCGGCGCTGCGGTTCCCCGCCCGACGGGCTCCGGAGCGGCCGCGCTGGGCTCGCGCGTGATCGGAGCAGCGGGGCGCTGCGGGGCTCGCGGCCGCGGCAGGTGCCGGCCGGCCCCTGCGTGCGGGGCAGCCCCGGAGCCGCGCGGCCTTCGCTTGCGGGCCGAGGGGTGGTTTCCGTGCTGCCGCCGCGGGGCTGCTGGCCGAGGTGGCAGGAGCGCTCGGGACGCCGCGAGGCACGGCGTCCTCGCCCGGCCGGCTAGAGGGGTTTTGCTGGGCTTAGCTTGGCGAGCGGGCCCGGCCTGCGGTGCTCTGGCTTTGGAGCCAAAGCGCCGTGCGGGACATCAAACAGCGGGGCGCTCGCCTTCATGGCTCCTTGGGGCGTGGAACGATTTGGGCCCCAGGCGCGTGGCAGGGAAAGAGCCCCGACCCCCAGCCAAGCAGTGAGTGGCGCTTGGCCTGATCCTGCCGCAACATCCGACTGCATTGGCATCAGGCAACTTCGACGAACTTGCTGAGCTAGTCAAGGAGAGACACCAGGCGGACTCAAGCCTACGGGTGTCAAGTGCTGTCCATGCTTTGGCTGGGCAGCACTAATTGCGGCTGGCTGGACTTGAGAATTCCTGTGGGCGAGAGGGAGGAGGGAGCCACCCAGGAGCCGGGCTCCCCTTGCCCCACAAGCCTCCAGGTGGTTCCCCCGCTTCCCATAGTCAGGCCAGCCCCTCTGCTTGGGCTCAGCATGCCACTTGTGAACTTAACGCTGTAGCAACATAACCAAGTTCATGCATTTAATATGTTAATATCCTATTTTTCCTTACAAAGAACTCAAGGCAGTTTACATAATTTTCCTCCTCTTCTCAAGCTTATCCTCACAACAACAACCCTGTGAGGTAGGTTGGGCTAGAAGTCTGACTGGCCCAAAGGCCCCCAGTGAGCTGCATGGTTGAGTGGGGACTAGAACCAGTCCTGCACCCTTCACTACTGCACTGCCCTACACCAAATGTGCTGCACCCCACCCCCCCCATAGCAAACTGGGGGAGGGTTGTTGAGAGAAATCTGGGTCTTTCCTTAGAGCGAGCAAAGGATGCCAGCACACCTCCCTTGATGCTCCACACACACAGGAGTCCTTCGGTGTTGCTCTTCGATATTGCGGCCTTTCCTCGTCATACACTCCTTTCTGTAGTGTATCAGAGGCATCCGTTTTTCAGAGCAGATGCCAGAGAGGGCTGTCTGTGTCCCAGAGCTGGCAGCATCGAGACGCTCCTGAGTGGCTAAGCTCCAAGTGCTGCTTACTCGTGGGTGAGCGATAGTCTCTTGAAAACATCCTCTACTCTAGCCGTAGAGCCTCACGTGAAATGTGTAGAAGCCTGACTGAATTGTCTTGCTGGCTGCTGCTGCACGTGGCAAAAGAAACACGGGACTCTTTCAGGCAGGCAAGACTGAAGTCGGGTTTCTGGAGGGGTGCGCAAACAAGTGGTGAACTCACACGTGGTCTCTGTTTCTCCTCAGAAGCTGTGGAGGTGGTGCTTGCGTCCCTCTTTCCTCTCGGCCTCGCTGCTGTCCAGTCCTGCAGTGGCCGGGCTAGTGTGTTTATTGGGGGTGAGGGGGGAAGCCTGCGGCTCTTTGCTGTAAACTCCCGCGTGCCCATTGATTCCCAGTTCCAGGTGAACGTGTGAGACATGTGCAGTGTGGGACAATTGGTTGGCCTTGCTGGTGCCTCATGCACAGGGTTGTAGCATGAGGGATGTGACCCTCCTGCTGCAGAGCAGCTGCTCCCAGTGTTTGCTCCTGGTGTGCCAGAGATGTGGTGTGCACATCTGCAGAGGGTGCCAGAGAGGTGACCGGGGGGATCGATAGACAGTCACAGTTAGGAAACACTGAAGCTTCTTGTAACTCCTACATGGATATTTTTGCTTGGAAAACTGTTTTCAAGCAAGACGTTGTTGGTATAACCTCATTTATACCCCCTTTGTCATTTGAAAGCATCAAATTGCAGGCAAGCCTTGGGGATTGAGTATGAGAATTCTTGTTCTCCACCAGATGGTAGACAGTTAGCAGTTTGAGAAAGAGAGCCTCTGTTTGCGCTGCTGCCACCGCGTCAGCCTTTTCACAGTGACGGTGGGGCTTGCTGCACAGTTTGATAGAAGGTGGCTTTGTGCTTGATAGCAGATGGAATGCCTGGTGCAGAGGAGGTCCCGTTCTGTTGGTAACTTGCAATCATCTTGATAACACACTGTGTGTGGGTTCTTCTCACCTCTCTGAGGACGTTGGGCACAGCACCAGAGGATGGAGGATAGCACTTGGCAGAGTCCCGTGTGATGAATCACGCTGTAGCTCAGGTCTGGTGGTGCCCCTTGAGCTGGCTTTTGTGGGCAACTGGGTTCAAGAGATGGGGGCTGTTTTCATAAGCTAGTTTAAGGCAAGCCGTGCAGCATGGTAGTGAGTGTTAATACGCAGAGACGGAGGGCTGCCCAGGGCTCCTGGTGGCCACCCTCTGCCCTGAAACTTGGACTGCCTCCTCTTTCGCTATGGGCGGTCCATCCTTGAGAAAGGGATATTTGCTGCCCTTTCAGGTAGGTTACAGGTTGTGGTTGCACTATGCTAAAGACAACTCTCTCCATTTATTTATTTCTAGCATTTGTGTACCATTTGATTAGTCTAATGCTCTCCAAGCAGTTTACACAGTGTGTCAGAAGGCCACAGAAGGGGCTGCGTGTCCTGCCTGCCTATGGCCTCTGCTTGGCTCTGTTGGAGTTCCTGGTATGGTCATCAGGGTGCGTACACCGCATCTGCACTGGCCCTCCTTTCCCAAGAAGTTCTAGGCATGGACTTCTGATGAGGCAGGAGCCGTGACGGCTGGCTAGCAAGGCTGCTTGCCCTGTGATCCCTTCTGTGGCTTCTCTCCGTGTATGGTGGGAGTTGGGTGAGCTTTACCTCCGTCAGCATCCTTGTACTCCAGCCAAACTGGGTTGCATCTGGGCTGTCTTTGGGGTGCTCCAGCTCACAAGAGCAATTCAACATGGGCAAGGCAATTAGAAGTCAGTCCGTGTGGTGCAGGGAGAGTGCTGGACTGGAGATCCTAGAGTGTCAGGTTCTAGTCCCCACTCAGCCATGGAGCTCCCTAGGTGAATTTAGGCCAGGCACAGACTCTCAGCCTAACCCACCTCGCAGGGTGGTTGTGAGGGCAAAATGGAGAAGAGGGAGAGGATTATACAAGCTGCCTTGAGTTCCTTGAAAGCAGAAAGGTGGAATATAAATGAGTGAAGGAAGGAAGTCAGTCTGCCAGCATTAACACACACGTGATGGAAGAAGAGGGCGCAGCCCCTTTGCTCCATGGCCCTGGCTTCTGAAAGGATGGGCTTGGCTTTCTGACTTAATGTGCCTCGAGTGAGCCATGCAAGCCACTCTTATTTCTTAGTCAAAGGGTGGCGCTTGGAAAATTCGTTCTCTGGTGTCAAGCAATGTTTCTGACTTTGCAGTACAGCCACAGCTGCGTGGGCTTCATGCTTCATGTCGGAGGGTGGGATGAATCAGCTTTTCTGAGTCTCTGAGGGCTGGAGAGGCCTGCCTGCATGCCTGTGGGGTTGGGGGCTTAATATTGCAGGATACTGCCAACCTCCTTGTTGACTGGAAACAGAATCTTTTGCGAGATGTGACAACCACTGTGGCTTTTTACAGGTGCTCCAGAGATGGTTAGTGCCGGAGCCAGGAGCTCGCCTGGGCTTGGTGATCAGTGGCTGGAGCGGCAGTGAAGGAAAGTCTTGGCAGCGCATGCTCTGCCAGCTCCTTCCTGTCTTCCCTGGGACTTACAGCCCATCCCCTTTTCCATCACTGCCTGTTTGTCAAGCCCCTCAGCCAGAGCAGGCCGAGCACAGCCGTTGTGAGGCATCTGCAGGGATGAGCTAGGCGAGTCGCGCTCTGGGGCTCCCCCCACCCCCTCAAAGGCAGCTTCTGGCCTGGCCGCAGTGCCCACCAGTGCCGCTCCCCGGCTTTGTCGAAGTTGCAGCAAATGGACACGTGCAAGCTCCTATCTTCCCTGCCCCGGGAAGGCGATGGGGTGGCCTTCTGTGGAGACCCCTCTGTGCAGCTGGCTCTGCTGGCCCTTGAGGAGGGGAGCAATGCGGGCTTCCATTTCGGGGCTGCAGCGGACCCAGGTGGCTCGGAGGCTGCAGGGCCTTCTGTGCTGACTTCGAGGGACCCTGGCTAGAACAGAGCGCAGGGCTGGCCTGGTGCCCCAGCAGAGCCCGAGGCTCCCTTACAAGAGTTAAGCTCCAAAAGCTTGCATGGAAGGGATTTAATATCCTTATTAAAACTCATCTGCTGGTGGCAAACGCTTTCCTTTTTCTCTTTTTGGTTAATGCAGCTTCTCGGGGTGCCGAGGCTTTCCCTGCCTCAGATCAGAGCCTCACATGTTGAAGCCGGCAGTGCTGGAGGCTAGTTTCTGTCTGTGTGACAGCATTTTTAATTTAACAGGACCTGCTTTGATCTCACATATTTATAGGCAGCTTCAAATCACTCCCGCTTGCGCTTCTTTATGCTGCAACCCAAGTTTTCCCTTT